ACACTCTTATAAAAATAAAACTGTTTACAATTCTCGCTTTCAGTGTCTGCCTGGGGTCACCACAAAGAATTAGTATCATGCTTCCTGTGTGTTACAGATAGGCCGGCAAATAAACAAACTAAAAGTATCGTGATTTGGTGTCCACTAGAAAATATTCTCTAGCCATCATGCATGACTGTTGTGAACACTGCATTAATTTTTGAGTGCCTTTAGAAAGCACATTAGAACACAGAAGAAATGGACACTCACAGTACTAGGAAAAGATACTTCACTGGGCATGAATCTGTTGTGTTCGAATCAGAGAGGGAGAATACAATAAGTTAATTAATTTGTCTTTACCCATATGTGTGTCCACTGCTCAAAGCTTGCCCACCCTCTGAAGGGAAGGGTCCATCTCCAAAGCTTCAGCAGCACAACCCACAGGTCATGGCTTTTGGGCACAATTTCCTTTTGATGCACAGACCCAAAGCCAAGAGAGGTGGAGAAGTTTCCCTGGGGCCTGAATGGTGTTACTCATGAGAGTGGATGGTTAGGGTTATCGGTTGTGCTGTGCCAGTGCCAAGTTCAGGATCCTGAATGACAGAGGCACTCTTGTGTCCTTTCATACATTAACTTACCCGGTGTTGGTGATGTAGGAGACCCGGTGAAGCAAGGGCTCAGAGACGCGGCCCCTTTTGCCTGGGTCTTGCCCAGATGATTGGATGATTCAGTTAACAGATGCCAGGGTGGGTGAATGATGGCTAAAGATCACACATTCAAAGTAGGAAAGAAACGGAACCGTAGGCAAAGAAAGTTTCGGCTTTTCGAGTGTCCTTTTGCGAAGCTTTCCCTAATCCGTCTTCTTCCCTTATAGATGGAATTAATTACCATCCTTTGAACCACTCCTGTACCTATTTTTTTTTCAACGTTTTTTTTTTTTTTTTTTTTTTTTTAATTTATTTTTGGGACAGAGAGAAACAGAGCATGAATGGGGGAGGGGCAGAGAGAGAGGGAGACACAGCATCGGAAACAGGCTCCAGGCTCCGAGCCATCCGGGGCTCGAACTCACAGACCGCGAGATCCTGACCTGGCTGAAGTCGGACCCTTAACCGGCTGTGCCACCCAGGCGCCCCAACTGTACCTATTTTTTAATGCTTACAAATGTCACATTGTAATAAGTAATTAAAAAAAGTATGTTAATATTGGTTTCCTTGGCGAGGCTGAACACGTGAGAATCAAGTTGGTATCTTCATTGTCCCTGTGTTTCCTGTGTGGAGCATGGCGACTGATGTATCATACGCGTGTGGGCAGTAGACTGTGAGTGTGAAGAACTTGTGCTTTAGAGCTAGGCACTCTTGAATCTGAATCCTGGTCTCGCCACTTCAGAAGTTTCTTAACGCCCCTGAGCTTCAGTTTACTCCTCTGAAAATGGGGACAGTGGCATTCCCACCTCCTATGGTTATCCTGAGGCTTACTTACCATGATTATTTATAAAATATTTCGTACAACGTTAGCTGTGGTAGTCATGCCCACTATCGATCCAGGCCGAAGCATCTCCTTGTCCAGCCTCACGATGCTGACATGCAAATACACCAGACAGTGCATACTGGGGCACGCACTTGGAAGGATATTGCAAGGAGGCGTTATCGTTAGGTCCATTTCTAATCTTAAAAGGGACACTGAGTGTGTGGAAAGTCTCCAGGTCTTTGAGCCCACTGGGAAGGAGGGAGGATTAAGGAATCTATCTAAGCTAAAATAGTCCTGGAACAAATGAAATGTAGATCTTCAGTTGTCATTCTCCTCCTGGACGGTGACGCTCTCTGGCAAATATTTCTTGCACTGATGGGGTGGTGGTGATGGCCCTGTCCTAAGGCAGCTCCCGTCAAAGGCTGGGGAGCTGGAGAGCGGGGTGTAACCTGAGACCCCACTACCGCAGGCCTGAAATCTCAGCTGGGATAGCACCAGCTTTCCCCGCAGCAGCAGACTTGCTGGGGCTCAGCTCTGTTTCAGGGATGGTCGTGTCCTGCTGGTCAGGCACAGGACCCGTCCTGTCTCTGCAACCTGGAAAAACACACAGGCCATCGAGGGCTGGTGTTCCCATCTGTCAGCTGACTTTCCCTGAGAGATGCCTCGGCCTCCCATTGCTCCACTGACCACAGTATTTACTCTTTGGGGCTCTGGGGGGGGGGGGGTGATATGTGCAGGGCCCGCAGTCTGTGCTCTACTCCCTCAATGGAGTAGCCGCTGAAACATTTCTAAGCCCTGATTCATCTCCAGGCACAATGCCAGGGGACAGGAAGAACGTAAGAAGGCTCCCCATTCCCAGCAGCTTATACTCTAGTTGGAGAAAGATAATGGGGGGCTGGTCAGCTACAACTGAGGTTTCTTGCCACATCAGGCTGATTCCCTGACCTTGCAGTTGCCCATTTATCTTCAGTGCCCACATAACCAGTATAGGTGGCATCACCCAGTTGCCAGGATTTGGGGTGCGGGGCAGAAGAGACGGATCGGACTCTTGCTCAGACTGGGTATAAGATTAGAATCAGAGAAGCCTGGGATGAGACTTGCAAATCACTTCTCATGAACACCCTAGGCTCGGGATAATCCTTAGGAAAGGCGACACACCGTGTTACAGCTCCCCTCAGCTCAAAGAAGGGATGCAAGAGGAAAGGGCCGCTGCTCAAATAGAGTATCTCGGAGTGTGGCTTTCCATCCAGGATATGTCTCTAGCAGCCACGGGGTTACATCAGGCAGGGGGCCTGGGCCAAAGTTCTGGTTGACCTGGTACCAGACTGCAAGGACCACCATGGGACATGAAGTAACATGCCCATCTTGGATGCTCTAGGACCTCAGCACAGGCCACAAAGAGTCCCGTTTGCAAAGCATTGCAGATGGGAGTGGGGATGGAGGAGGGTTGTCTCTTGATCATGGTCTGGATCAGTCTCCGGGGGACTTTAGCAAGTTCCTTGTTAGAAGGGTCTGTTCAACTTCACAAGTGGGGCCAGCTTTGAGAGTTCTAAAGGGCAGTTATTATTGAGAGACCAGGCCATTCAAGGTAGTTTGAAAGACCTGTCATCAGATGGGAGCAACTATGCCTCTTTGTGAACCCCTGAAAGGTGTTCATGTAAGGAGGAGCCATAGCCCATGTCCACCATCGTCATCATCATCACCATTGTCATTTGTTATGTAAGAGCAGTCATTGAGCACCAATGATGTGTCAGGCACAGTGCTAGGTGCTGATCCTCATAGCAATCTTGCGAGCTAACGGTTACTTTCTGCAATTTACGGGGGAAGTAACTCAAGTTCAGAGATGTTAAGTAATTTGTTGGAAATTAAGTTGTTGCATTAAAGTGGCAGAGATGTAGTGGCTTTGGCACCAGGTGAACTTCCTCTAAGTATAGCTCATTTAAACATCAAATGGGTTTATTGGAGAATTAGAGGGTAAATCAAATACTGACAGAAAGACTGAAGAACCAGGCATGAACCTGCCCCTACTAAGACTCACACATGGGAAATTCCTCTGGGAAAGTATTTGGACGCTGGGAAGCCAAAAAAGAATGATAAGGATTTACTACAGACTTCTAGAAATGACAGAGCATCAAGGATGGTGGTTTTGGAACCCCACTGAAAATTTGTGGTCAAATGTAGCTAAAACTCATAACCATTGGTACCTGAGCCTTGGTGCCTCAAGACTGAGGGCCTAAGGTCACTTATATAGATTTGAACAGGTGATAGTGTCCCGTCTATTTGCTCCTCCTCACCAAACTTAAGTGGGTAAGCTTTCGTTGTCGTGATCACTCTAGTGTGGTGCTAACCTCAAGACCCACTCGCTCCACCCAGCCTTCAAGATGGCCCCCAATGATTCTTGCCTCCTGGTATTGTCCCTCCCACATTGAATCAGGGCTGACCTACATGAACAATAGAATACAGTATATATGACCACGTGTGACTTCCAGAGCTAGGTCATAGAGGCACTATAGCTTCTCCCCCCCACCCCGGTCTCCTGGATAGGCGGCTGTGGGGTAAGCCAGTTGCCATGTTGTGAGGACACTCAAGGAGCCTCATGCCAGCCATGTGAGTTAGCCATTAAGTTTTGAAGTAATTTTCTATACAACAAAAATTAGAGGTGGGAAAGAAAGTATGTAATCTGCCTGAAAGCAATAACCAATTAAGGTACATAGTCTTTCCTGGGGCTAAAAGGGACCTTCCAGCAGGTATGGACGTCTTCTCAATAATAGCTGTGACAGGTACTCAGATTCTCAGCAAACCTTGAGCTCCCTTATCTGTTTTTCCTATGTAGTTGTGTTTGTAACAGATGTCAAATATTTTGGCCTCCTGGTACAAGGTTAAGGCAATCACTGGGGCCCAGGGATGGGCAGTTCAGGAATGGCCTTCCCTCTATGAGTAATGCCCTTCCATCTCTGCAAGCCTGTCAGAGCAAAGACCTTCCGGGATTGTGTTTTCCCTCTGTGTAAACCAGGGATTACACACTATGACCCATGAATCACTCACCAGTTTTTATAAATAAAGCTTTATCAGAGTTTGCCTGTTCATTTGTGTATTGTCTAATGCTGGTTTTGCACTACAATAGCAGAGTTGAATAACTGTAGCAAATATCATATGTGGCCTGCAAAGCCTAAAATACTTTCTCTCTGGCCTTTTAAGGAACACTGTGCTGACTCCTGGTAAAAACAGTCAAAGCATTGTCAGCTAGCACACCTGAGAGCTAGAGGGGCAGCATCATTGTCTAGTCTCTATTCCTGGCTCCACAGCAGACAGAGAGGCACTGTGGCTTCTCTTTACCTTTCTCAAGATGAAGGAGTTTCCAGAGTACCTGGGTGGCCCAACTGGTTGAGCGTCCGACTTTGGCTTAGGTCGTGATCTCACGGTTTGTGAGTTTGAGCCCTGCATCGGGCTCTGTGCTGACAGTGTGGAGCCTGGAGCCTACTTCAAGTTCTGCATCTCCCTTTCTCTCTCTGCCCTTCCCTTACTCATCCTCTGTCTCTGTCTCTGTCTCTCGCTCTCTCAAAAATAAATAAACGTTAAAAAAAAAAAAAGATGAAGGACTTTCCAAGAGTAGAAATGTCAAGGAGAATCTCACCAAATCCTGATACGTGAGCCAGTTAGAGGTCTGCACACCTGTATTAGTTACCTGTTGCTGTTTAAAAAGTATCCCAAAATGTGATGCCTGAAAACAATAAACAGTTATTATCTCTCACAGTTTCTGTAGGTCAGGAATCTAGGAATGGCTTAGCTCGGTTGTTCCGACAGTTCTAGGTGGTTTCACTGTAAGCCACAAGCATTTTTGCCAGATAACTCATTGATTGTAGGGCAACTTTCCTGTAAAGGAAAAAAATAACTGGTTGACAGTTTGTTTTGACAGTTTGTTAGTTTCATCTCTGGTGGACAGTTTGGTTTCATTTCCCTGTTGACACCACTACTCCTGTTTTCACATTATGTAAATGTCCGCCTTTGTAATACTTTATGCAGTGGCACAGAGTTTTGAACTGACATTTCCCATAGAACTTTGGAATGTCAATCAACGGACATGTGACAGTTGCAAGCAAACAAGAGCGTAGAAGGCTGTCCCAAACAATTCAAAACTCGAATACAGACACACATCCTAGTATTCGGAAACTGGTACCTCTCTTAGTGAAGAAGGAGATTTTAGCAAGAAACAGAAAGTGTGTGGTGAATAAGGAGGAGGATCAACAACTAAAAAAACAAAAAAGTAACACATTATAAATGAAAGACATTGAAGATAAGGGCTTAGATAAAATCCATAAAATAAAACCCTTTTTTTTTTTTTTTTTGCACAGATTTGATATAAACCTATATGCACTTTAAATGTATTTAACTATTTTGCGTTTCACAATGAAGCTTTAAAATTTTTGTTGGGACACCTGGGTGGCTCAGTTGGTTGAGCGTCCAACTTTGGCTCAGGTCACAATTTCACTGTTCCTGAGTTCGAGCCCCCCATTGGGCTGGCTCTCTGCTATCATTCGGAGCCCGCTTTGAATCCTTTGTCTTATTCTCTGCCCCTCCCCTACTCATGCTTTTTTTCTCTCTCTCTCAAAAATAAATACACGTTAAAAAAATTTTGTTATTCATTTTTCATGTTTCATTATGTCCTTTTAACGACTGTCCCTCTTTTATTTTCTGTGATGTAATCTTTTACATGAAAATTGATTTACGTCTAATTAGTTATGTGGCAAAAATGGTCGTAGCCAAGATACTTACGGTGAAAATACCAGACAAGGGCTCTGGCTTGGGGTCTTTGAGGAGGTCAAGATGTTGGGGCTGCAGGACCTGAAGCCTTGACTGGGGCTGGAAGATGTGGTTTCACGGTGGCTCACTCAGATGGCTGCCGAGTCAGTGCTGGTGGTTGACAGGTGGCTTCAGTTCCACTCCACGTGGGCCTTTCCGTAGGTTGAATGTCCCTACAACATGGTAGCTGGCTTCCTTGAGAGAAAGCACACTGTTACTTGTATAACATCCTATTAGCTTCCCACAGGGGGAATACCTAGGCACGAGATTCACCGTGAACTCTGTTGGAGGGTGGATACCACACATCTCACCCCAAATAAGAGTAGTCATACATGGTGGGAAAGGTCCTTTGGATAGAGGAGGAGACAGATGCTCCAAGTGGCCTCTGCAAGGTGGGATGGAGAGAAATGTGGGATGGATGGCACTCAGGAGACTCTGACCTTCTGAGTGTCCTAGGATGGGTCATGTCCCCTGCTGGAGCTGCAGTTTTCTCTTCTCTGAATAAGAAAGTCTTTGGAACCCAGGTCACTGTGGCACAGGGGTCAAGTCCCCACCACTTAGCCAGTCCCTCATTTCTGTGGACCTCAATTTTCTCATCCATAAAAGCAAGAGTGAGGATATCACCTCTCTAAGCTTCTGTGGAGAATAAATGAGCCGGGCCATGTAATATGCCTTGCACACAGTAGGTGCCCAATAAATGTTAGCTATTATTATTTGCAGCAGAAATAGCAGTATCACCTCTAGCTTCAAGATCTTTGATTCCACAGACTGCTGTGAGCCCTGAGAACGAGGGGCTTCTGTATGTTCCCTCCTGTCAGTCCAGACCCCCTTGTGTGTGCCTCTGGGGGCGGCTTCAGGTGGCTGTGCTCAGACCTTGGGGAAGGACAGGGTACCCATTTCCTTTCTCAGCATTTTGTGGCCAAGGCACTTGCACACCTGGTAGAGCTAGCTGCAATTAGAGACCGAGCAATGAGAACAGCCTCAAGTTCAGAGCTGGGGGTCTGTCCTTGGGACATGTGTGAAGCATGAGATCAAAGAGTGGCAGAGATGGGCTGCACCCCGGGACTCATCCAGGCCCTTGTCGGGCCACGCCTCCAGCCTGTGGGGCCACCATCCCTTCTCCCAAGTCTGGTTGAAGCAGAGGTCTGAAGAATACCACCCACTGAGCAAGGCCCATGGAAGCAGCTCTTAGATAATTGCTGGGTCGAGGCTGGCCTGCCCAGACCCACGCTGTGGCCAAGTCATTGCATGTAGCTCTCAGCTTCAAGTCCTCACCCCACTATGAGACCACAGGGATGACATAATCATATCCATCCCCATTCTCCACAGTCTCAGCTGGCAGCCCAGGCCTCTTCCTGTACCCACTGGCTCCCAGACTCCATCCACACACTACTCTGTTCATCTTCTCACTGTCCTCAGTCCCCGTCTTATTCCCCTTTATCCCCTAACTGCTCCGTGACAGCAAATCCTCTGTACCCTCGGTCTTTTTCTGGAATGTTCCCTTCTCTCAGCCTGTTGTCCTCTCAGGTGGGGACTGCCATTCTCATATATACCTTCCTCAGAGTCATGGGATCAGTCTGCAATCTTCCTGGCTCCCCAAGCTATTCCTGCACTCTCTTTCATCTTGTGAAAGTCCCTGCTCCTTTAGAGTCACACCATTCAGCTCCCTCCCCTTCCTTGATGTTCTCCAGGCTTCCTGGTCAACCTACTCCATCACCAACCACCTTGGCTCCTGGGCTCCTAGACGCCCTTTCCACCCCAACTCCCTCATAATCCTTGGGCCTTCATCATTCACAAGGATGACTTTTCCAGGTTCCCAGTCTGGACCTCATTGCCAAGACCACTTTCATACCTCAGCTACCCACTCACTTCCCAATACCCAAAAGGGCATAACCTCCCAAATAGCAAACCCAGCACCTCACTCTCTGACCATCATTTCCCATACATACAGAAGCTTACTTCCTCAAGCCTTCCTGTTTGTTTTCTTTGTTTTCATCATAAACCCAGACCTATGGGTCCACTCCTTTCTTGCTATCCATCAGTGTCTTCCTGGCTTCATTTCCCTTCCTTTCTGTCTTAGATTCCATGGTTCTTCACTAGCATCACTCCCTTGCACGTACCTCTAACTCCCTTGCTCCCCCAGTCCTCCTTGTACTTTACCCAACTTGTAATGATGCTTGGTCTAAGTACAAGGCTCTTCATAGTATGTAGAGCTTTGGAAATTACATGATTTCACTTAGACATTTTGGTGGTCATGTATGATGTAGGGCAGGTATTCATGTTTTTGTTTTTACAGAAGAGGAACTAATCCCAAAGAGGTTCAGTTTCCAGTGTTGCCCAAAGCTGAGCCCCCCACCTGCACCTCCTGGCCCCAAGTCCACCTCACCTATTGAAAGCAGCCCTTCTAGAATAGATTGGTATTGGGATTCCTGGTGATGGGAGTGTGAGTGGGGGCAGGGCACCCCAGCAGAGGGGACACTGTTCCTTACGGTGGGGATAGGAAAGGGGGTGGTCCAGAGAGGAATGTGGTGTTCCTCACGGGCGCCTTAGAGGCTGAGAAATCCTCTCCCGCAGGCTGCCTTGCAGAGGTGTGCTGGTTGCGAAATGCCAAAACAGATGCCACTGGTAAAGCATACTGTCTGACAAAGAATTCCTCCAGCTTCCCGGCCTTCTGCAAATCTCATTTCTTTCCTTGTTGGGGCTCGGGGGGCTGAGGGCTCCGCATCACCCTACACATCAAAGACACCGCCAGGTTTCCCAGCATAGCCCTCAGAGGCTTCTAACCGGCCTCTGACAATAAAATCACTTTTATATAAAAACCGAGACTCAATATTTGGCAGAAAAGGGATTAACAGGATCAGTGGTGCAGGGGATGGCATCATGCTATTTTTGTTGGCACTTCCCCAGCTGAAGTGTGAGGAGTCTGGGCATGGAAGGAGGATATATAGTTTTTTCTTTTCAACTGACTTGGCCGCTCTAGGTCTGGAAAATCCAGGGAGCTGGAGGGAGCTGGCACGTCTGGGGGTGACCTTCCAGCAGGGTCAGGGCATCTGCTAGCCTGAGGAGATGAGCACATTGGGCCTGCGAGGCTAGAGCAGGAACTACAGAGTCATTCTCCTGGGGCCTCGGGCAATAGCAGAAGAAAGGCTCTCTTTGGGGATCGGGTCCTGAACTCCAAAGGGGACAAAACGTCCCGGTCCAACCAGCAGCAGAGACAGACTGACCTAGAGAAGCATGGTCTGGCCCTGCCACGCACAGACCTCTGCATCTTGGCCACTGGCAATGCCCACAAGGATACGGCAGTGAGGGCCTTAGAGGACACCGCTCCAGTGGGAGCCAAAATTGTTCTGTTTTTTGGGTAAGGAACTTTTGCTTTGAATGAGATACTGAAGCTACCTTCTGCATACGGAGGACCGGAGGAGGAAGTGCTGCTTAGGCCTGGCGCCTCCCCGGCTCCTGAGGCTGCCTCGGAATCTGACACTGGAAGTACAAATTGAAAATCACATCACTCATTAGATGAACACTTACCGAGTGTCTGCTCCATTCCTGGCACTTCTGCAGGCACAGGGGGAACGCTGGTGAGCAAAACCAGGCACAGCCCGCCTGTGGGGCTTACAGGGTAGTGCGAGAGAGAGACCTTAATTGAATAATGACACAAGTAAATGTTCACTCCCTCCAATGAAGACACTGATTTGTGAAGTGCCAGATTCTGAGCTGGGCACTCAAGGCTCTGGGCTACCGAGCCTCAAGCTGCCTTTCCAGCGTTGTGCCACTTTACTCTCCCACCCAACCCGGAGCACCACCCATACCCTTGATGCATTTCCCCGGGTATAACTTGTCTTTTCCCGCCTCCGGATTCCCCTGGGCTGCCTCATTTCCCCTTTCCTCCTTTCTTCCCTCCAGCCACCTCCACCACCCCAGGAGAGCCCCGCGACAATACCACAGGTCTGCAAAGACTCCTTGGTTGAAGGGGATCCTGCCAGCATTTCTGCCTGGTCCAGAGTCTGTGTGTGTGGGGGGGGGGAGTGGGGGGAGTGGCCAGCACTGGTGAAGGAGCAAGGAGCCTGGGCAGAATCCTCATCCTGCTCCTGAGACCTTAGGTGAGTCACGCAACCTCACAGAGATGCCCACGAACTCATCTTGGATTCGTCTGATCTCCTCCGGTGGACACAGTTCCTTTCCTCCAGAAACGCCCTGTCTTCTCCCCGTACCAAGTTCAGTGCCTTGAGCTCATTAGGGGCCAAACATGACACTTGTTCATTGACTAGTACATTTGGTTGTGAGCTCCTGGGTCAGCGTCTCTCACTTGCTTATGTCGGCCTCATGGCTGGTTCTGGTCCAGCGGTTCTGGGTTTTCTTCTCATAAGAAGACTGAAGAAGGCACTTCCTTCCTTCGGGAATCTCACTAATAACCTTCAAACATATATTGACTACCTACTGCATACCAAGTCTGTGCTAGGAATGACATTTTCTCTTCCCTTCAAAGAGTGTAAGATCTAAGAAAGGAAGCAGACAAGGACAGCAACAATGGTATTGTGTGCTAGGTAGAGTCAGAGATGCTATGCAGACATGGGGGTCCCTCCCACAGCCTTCAGAAGGCAGTGTCCAATAATCTACAGGAGTGGGCAGAAGGTTGGGTTATCTGTCTGTCCTCTCAGAGCCTCCCCTGGGATTCGTGGCTCTGCCTCCATGAACCCTGAGTCGTTCCCTGGATGCTTGGGAAGCTGATGGTTCCTCTTCTCTGAGGCCAGTGACTAGATAAATACTCCTTTGCTACTCCATCTAGCTGGGCTTCCTAAAATAGCCACATGAGGCTGAACAGGCATGACCTGAGATCTGTACTGAAGGGCTCCAAACTTGGAATTACGACATATGGAAAGAAAAGCCAAGTTTCTTGTTACACTTTCCCTCAAATCTTTTTAAAAAATGTTTATTTATTTTTGAGAGAGAGAGAGAGAGAGAGAGAGAGAGAGAACAAGCAGGGGAGGGGCAGCGAGAGAGGGAGAGGGAATCCCAAACAGGCTCTGTGATGTCAGCACAGAGCCCGATGTGGGGCTCGATCCCACAGACTATGAGATCATGACCTGAGCCCAAATCAAAAGTTGGATGCTTAACCGACTGAGCTACTCAGGTGTCCCAAGTTTCCCTTGAATCTTAAAGGAAAGGCACTTAAAAATAAGCCTATCGCTGACACC